CACATTTCAATTATTATACATTATATATGTATGTAGATTATTGCTATTTTGAAATAAGTTCTTTAACTTGTTTTACTTAAAACATGGAACAGTAAATAAAGAAGTAAAGCAAACAATTATCTCTTCTAGTTATGACCTTTGTACTCGGGTTGCTGCTTGACGTATGTTGCTAAGCCTTTAAAAATTTTGCACATGGAGGATATGAAACAAAATAATTTGTTTTAGGTTTTATATATACATTTGAATAAGTAAAAAGTCATAAATTACTACATCAATACCATATAATTCCAGTATAATTTAGCAAGCTCAGTAACTAAGCTGTATTTTAGTATAAAAAAATATGGAATTTCGAGCAGACTGAGGACACACCCTACCTCCTTGAAATCTTGGTTCGAAAGAAAGAAATGACGTCCTAAGAATATAAAATGGCTGAGAAAGCCACTAGGGGGACATTCTGAGCTTCCGATTGGTTATTCATTTCATACATAGAAGTAAGTGTATATAAGGGAACGTTTCCAAAAATGGAAAGAAGTGGGCAGGGTGCCAGTGTGTTTGATTTATTACATGAGCAATATCTTAGCAAATAGAAAGAAAAAATAAGACCTCCATATTTTACATTCTAGCTTGTCAATATTGGTAATTTGAATTTCTAATTCGTATGAAACTATAGAATTAGTATTTTGACATCACAAACATCTAATTTGAACCAATGTTTATCTGTGTATCTTTAATATTTACTTTTAAATTAACAAATTGAATAATGTATAGTACTAAAATTTGAATTATAACCTACAGTTTGATACCAAACTTACTGACATAAGTTCATGAAATAGTAGTTCAATAAAAGTTTTAAGTGCGAGTCAACAAACGAGATAACGTGGCCTTTCACCTGTGACCTGTCTTGAAAGGGTTAAGGGGATAATTTTGTTCTAGATTACCCAGATGTCAGGCTGAACCTATTCTTCGGTTTATAGGGGGGAAAAAAGAAAAACACGGAGGAAGGATTTAAACATGACTTAGAAGCAAATATACATGTTACAGTCCAACAGGATGATATTGAGAGGTATTATAGTGTCAAGTTGACAATCCACACATCTGGCAGCCAGAGCTACAGTACAAAAGATGTGAATGATTTTCTTTGAAGACTTACTGGAAGTATGTTTAGGCCAAGTATAATTACAAATGAATTAAACAATAAAGATCAACCCATATCTCTGATAATTTTAAGCATCTTTAATACTCTGATTGAGTTAGAAGAGTTTCGGGATAATAAAGTAAAATAGTTAAAGTGCCAAATAACCTTATACATATATATATAAAAAAAATTTAATTGTATATTAAAATTTAGGAAAACACACAATTTTTGAATTTTCTTTAATACTTTACACCATTAATTGTTAATGGTTTTCCTTCCTTTCACTATTAATTTATTAACGTTATATCTTTAGGGTGGAAGAGATGAAGGACCCGCAGACCCACCTAAGGCTAAAGAGGATGCATTGGTGAGAGAAAAAGTTCACAAGTTATCAGCTGTTTGGATACATAAATATGTCAATCATAGCTTTGTTCATTATGTGTTGTATGAAGAGCTGTGTTCTTCATCTGCTGTTTAACAGCTGCATACGTTATGTGATGTTATACTGAACTGTCTACATCATGTGTTGTTTAACAGCTGCACATGCTATGTGGTGTTACACTGAGCTGTGTACATCATGTGTTGTTTAACAGCTGCACATGTTATGTGGTGTTACACTGAGCTGTGTACATCATGTGCTGTTTAACAGCTGCATACGTTATGTGATGTTACACTGAACTGTCTACATCATGTGTTGTTTAACAGCTGCACATGCTATGTGGTGTTACACTGAGATGTGTACATCATGTGCTGTTTAACAGCTGCATACGTTATGTGATGTTATACTGAACCGTCTACATCATGTGTTGTTTAACAGCTGCATATGCTATGTGATGTTACACTGAGCTGTGCACATCATGTACTGTTGAACAGCTGCATACGTTATGTGATGTTATACTGAACTGTCTACATCATGTGTTGTTTAACAGCTGCATCTGCTATGTGATGTTACACTGAGCTGTGTACATCATGTACTGTTTAACAGCTGCACATGCTATGTGATGTTACACTGAACTGTCTACATCATGTGTTGTTTAACAGCTGCATACGTTATGTGATGTTACACTGAGCTGTGTACACTACATACTGCTATAGAGCTGTGTACATCACATAGTGTTAGAATCGTATAACTCATGCATTCAGACAGAGCTGTGTCAGGAATGTTTATCTTGTACACATCTCGGCTGACAGTCTGGCATAACTATGACTTTATCAAATCTTTCTGGCTTTCTTCTTAGAAATCTATAGAAAAATCTACAGAATGAACATTTAACCCTTGTACTTCATGGAAGTGTTCAGCTTTTATACAGCCTAAAAAGGGCTTGTATGAAAGACTGTTTGAGCAGGACAGAACCAAGCTAAAGAACATGTATAAACATGTATTTTTGTTTTAATTTATTCTTTTGTATCGAATATGAAGTCCATGTTATGATGTTTGTTGCCCATTTGAAATTTTTTGTGACAAGCTCTTACATATTTTGGTTTAGCTGGGGCTTTTTAAAAAATATCATTCATCTTATAACTGGTATCAAAGTGGTGTGATGAGAAAGTTTGTCTAGTATTGTTTCTGTTTTAAGTGGTGAGATAAGAAAGTTTGTTTAGTATTGTTTCTGTTTTAAATGGTGTGATAAAGTATTTCTAGTATTGTTTCTGTTTTAAGTGGTGTGATAAGAAAGTATTTCTAGTATTGTTTCTGTTTTAAGTGGTGTGATAAGAAAGTATTTCTAGTATTGTTTCTGTTTTAAGTGGTGTGATGAGAAAGTTTGTCTAGTATTGTCGCTGATCTAATGTAAACATGATTATAAGCTAAAAATGTAGTCTATATTTTTTCTCTGGAACTTTGTTTCTCTGAATTTGTGAATTATACCTTAAACTAACTGAGGTTTATCTGAATTTATTTTAAATGCTTTGTTAGAATTCCTATTGTAACTGTATTACAGAAGCTTTATCAAGCTGGTGTGGGACAGTGGGGAACAGATGATTCTATCTTCAATGCTATAATGGCCTCTCGAAGTTATGCCCACCTATACCTTGTATTTGAAGAGTACTACCAGATTGCTGGACACACTGTGCCTCATGCTATAGAAAAGGAGTTTTCTGGTGATATTATGACAGGATTTTTAACCATAGGTTTGTCAATATCAAAAATGTTCTACCATTTTTATCATTGGCCATTAATAATACACAGCAAATATAAAGCATCTTGATAATTCCTGTCAGATAAGTATTTAAGTTTCATTTTGTGCTTTATAGTTATGTAAGTTATTTAATGATATGTATAATATAAAAGAAACATAATAAGTAGGATGAAAAATGAGCTTGACAGCTTGAGAAGCTTCTTAGAATTGTGATTTTATTTTAAAATGTTAGAAGATCTAACTTGATGTTACTTCATGACAAAAACTGTATTTATTTTTTACTAACCAATGACATTTGGTTTTCAATGTTTTTCAAAAGATAAGAAATAAAAGTTTAAACTCAACATCAGGTTATTAGGAAGCCACCCAAGTTTATTTACCAATCTTTTTTTTGCTTCTGACTTGGACCTGACAACCTTAAACTTTGAAAGAAATCACAATAAAACACTAAGAAAGTATCTTTGTATTATTTCATTTCAGCTACAAGTTTTGAAAAGTAAAGTTGTTCAATATATCAGTACTTCAATCCATTATGTTATTTTTCTGTATTTAGCTCGCTGCATGCAGAATAGAGCAGCATACTTTGCAGAAATGCTTCACAAAAGTATGCAGGTAAGTTAAAGTTATTGTAGTGAGAGGAAAGATTAAGTTACAAACTAATCATAACCTGGTAAGTTTGAAAGGCGATCCATCAGATCTGTCATAGTTTAGTTGCAAACCAAAGATAATCGTTTGAAGATAAAATATGACGTATAGATAGGAACTTTATATATGGATCAGCCATTTTCTACTCTAACTGTTACTATACAGATCTATGTGTTCCTAGTTCCTGTGTTACTATACAGATCCATGTGTTCCTAGTTCCTGTGTTACAACTAAAGATAACTGTTACTATACAGATCTATGTGTTCCTAGTTCCTGTGTTACTATACAGATCTATGTGTTCCTAGTTCCTGTGTTACAAACCAAAGATAACTGTTACTATACAGATCTATGTGTTCCTAGTTCCTGTGTTACAATACAGATCTGTGTGTTCCTAGTTCCTGTGTTACTATACAGATCCCTGTGTTCCTAGTTCCTGTGTTACTATACAGATCTATATGTTCCTACTTCCTGTGTTACAAACCAAAGATAACTGTTACTATACAGATCTATATGTTCCTAGTTCCTGTGTTACAACTAAAGATAACCGTTACTATACAGATCCAGGTGTTCCTAGTTCCTGTGTTACAACTAAAGATAACTGTTACTATACAGATCTATATGTTCCTAGTTCCTGTGTTACAACTAAAGATAACTGTTACTATACAGATCCATGTGTTCCTAGTTCCTGTGTTACAACTAAAGATAACTGTTACTATACAGATCCATGTGTTC